CGGCGATGAGTGTGTGCATTTGAAAATCCAAGTATTACGATTTATTTTTGTTGCTTTTGCGTTGCATTTTATTCCTTTTTTTTATAACTTTATTTTAACACTTTTATTGCGTTCTCTTTTCGAATAACAGCAATCATGTAAGAATGAACGAATATTAACTATTTTAGAATAAAAAAGCAACGCTATAGATTTTGTTTACATTCACGGATGTAGTTTTTTGTTTCGAAGAATAATGAAAGGGACTGTGTGTAAATCGTAAATAAAACTTATCAATTAACATAAATTGTCGCATATTTTAAGCCATGATTTCGCCAAAAGAAATGGACATCGTGTCAACTGAATGAAAGACGAAGAGTTTAGCCTCAATTCAATTTGTTCGTTTCTGTATTCGTTTGGACGTGTTTTGTTATCAATTGAAATCACGATAATTAACATATAAACGCGTTTCTCGGCTCATGAGTACAATTATCAAAGCTCAATGGTTTGGAATCGTATGCAATTTAATTTGTCGCAAAGTGTACACAAGATGTCGAACAGAGAAAAAATGTATCTGATGGTGTGTCGCATAGAGAAAATCAACATTGCTAAAATTAAACCCAATCAATTGTGAATTGATTTGCTAGCATGCCAACAGCAAACACGATCTATATTATCGAAGTGCTATCATCGTTTTATTATTGTTATGATATGATTGTTTTGATTTTTTCGTTTTGATTCGATGTTATTTTTGTGTTCTTGGTTTATTTTAGTGCATGCCGGGCAGAAAAGACACAACCTACAATAAATATAATAATAATCGAATAATGTCATATTAAAGTGAATCAAATTCATTGACGATAGTCACAGTGGCTCGCATTTTCCGAACAAAATGTTTTTAATCGTTAGCCGACAATTGTGTTGTGCGAATGACTTTACATTTTAACTTTTGCTATTTTTATCTTGCATACCCTTTTTTCGCGTATACTTCTTTTTTTCACAATTTTATTGCACATGTATTGAATGTCTTTGACTCGAATATCGTAAGCATCACATGCAGTGAAAATAAATGAACAAAATGAAATGAATCGTACACAGATTGGATCGTCGTGCATATCTATTGTTTCGAAATAGAATTGCTTACTCCAATGTAATTTCGGAACGCATGCATATAGAAAAAAAACAGACATACACGCCATATAAACGTGTTAAGTTAAATTGGTTTTACAATGCACATTACAAATCATACGCCGAATTTCATTCTCGTTATTTCGATGACGAATTACGATTTCAGTTTAAAGAAAAAGTAAACAAAAAAAAAACTAAAGTAAACTCAAATCATATGCTTTCTTGTGCATTTCACGTGTACTGAAACACATACAAGCGACGGCGCGTCAAAGAATATGCGTACAAAAAACACGGTGCAAATTTAAAAAAAGAAAATAAATTTAGACGAAAAACCGTTAGATATAAGAATGTTAAATGTAAGACAGTAAAACATATCGATGAGAACTCTTGAATCGAAGAATATGAATGCACATGAGTGCCGATTACTTGTGTTTATTAAGTCATCAGATTTTTTTTTTTTGAAGTTAACTCAATTTCAAGCCGAACAATGACAACACAAATTCAAATATAAATTCTGCAGACGTAATAGAATCGATAAGACAATAGAATAATAGAGAAGGGCAGACAGTACAATGCATGTCATATATAAAATGTATGTAGAAAAATTCGTTCTCAATTCATTTGAAAGAATATAGTTGAAAAAAAAAAACCGTCACATTCACGTTGAAATATGTTGTTTTTATTGGCATCATTTGGAAATCCAATTTCATTTTTTTTGCCTCATAATATTCACGTCGTTTGACAACGATGACAATGAAGAAGAAGAAGAAGTAATAGCAGCAAAAATGTCTGTTCGATTTGTTAACATTGTCTCGTTTATTGCTCATTTAACTATTTCATTCGCGAACATTCGTTCATTATACATTTTCGATGTGTTTGTTTAGCGTACGGTTTTTTTCCAAGTGGGTCAAAGCACAATTTTTCATTAAATTGCTTTCTGCGTCGAAATCGTCATCGTCACTTAATTATGTAGAGTGCGCGCGCGCACACACACACACACACACTAACCAGCGCAAATGAAATGTGAATGGTTGTGTACACTTTCAATATTCCACCAAAATACAAAAAGAAACAAAACCATTTCGATCAAAATCTTTACGATTTTTTTTTCGTCGATTCAAAAAAAAAAATCTTTCACTTCAAACAACGATCTGTCTGCATATGAAGAAGAAAAAACTCACAAAGAACCAACGGATTTTAATGATTTGTTGATGTTTCATTTTTGTTGTTGGTTTTGAATCATAAAACATTCGATTTTTTCCTTCCATTATCCATCACTATCTTCTTTTTTTTTCATTTGTTGTCTCGCAGTTGAGTCTTTAATAACCTTTTTTTAAGTGTACACAAGTATTTCTGGTTTGGTTATTTCAGTTTGAGAGACGTTTTCAATTTGAAATTGGATGGCGGGTATATGAAGAAATGAAGAAATAACCGTTTTGATTCTGTCTTCTCTTTCGATCCAAAGAAAATGAGGTTGATTGGAAAGTAAGTATCTAATAAGTGTTCGGTTTTCAAGCTCGCATAAATTATACCACCAATGAATTATGATATGTTAACGCCAAATTGGCATTTATGTAATCGACGAGTCTGTGTGTTTTGTGGCATTGTGCAAATCGATCTCTCAAGTTTGAATGAGCGGCTCTCTTTGCGATTCGTGCGCATAAGAAGAAATTATATCTATTTACGCTTGCGCACACATACATACGTGTACGTTTAATGGGAAAGTGAGAAGAGGCGGAAAATCAAAACATAGTCAATTTAACTCTCCAACTACTTTGAAATTTCACCTGAATATTTTTTTAAAAGCATTTGACCAGTATTGTAGTTGTGTTATTATTGTTTGATCGTATTATGCTGCTGTTGATGAAAATTAAAATTAAACGATAAGATTCTCTATCCGAATATAACTGGAATGAGTTGCCTCACGCTCTTTGGATGAACCAATTACAAGCGTAAACGTAACGCAATCAAACAGCTTTATCTACCCGTTGAACGGATTACAACAACAAAGAGAGACACTCAATAATTGTCCAATTCATGATCACATTTTTCTAACGAAATAATAGCATTAGCATTCTAGATGCTCCACACAACTTTTACACATGTTTATCAGTCAGATAAATTGAAATATTTAAAATAGACTGACTAAGAATTCGCCAGCAAACATTTACTACTCTACGTTTTAGGTCACATCAAAATACGATAAAAAAATGACAGTAATTATTGCCATCTTTTTTTGGCCGCTTAATATGCAAATCGTACAATATGATTGGATTTTCCAGTATTATCGATCGTTCATAGTTACTTTTTTTACGCTTTAATTTGCATGTATTCTCCATCATTTTTATATATAAATTATTAATGATTGTTATTGCCATTTCAACACTGTCGTAATACAATTGAATGTGATCATTCAACGAAAAGTATCAAATTCCACTTGCGCATTTCGAACAAACAAAATACCCGAATGTAATGGACATGTGGATATCAAGACATTAATGACAGTAACATTGACAAAATGTGTTATTCCCCATTTAAAATAGTTTTATGTGCCGTTCGTTGAAAAATTTCACTCTTTGTCTATATTCTTCGAAAGATCATCATCATCCAATTGATTTGTCTGCAAATTTTGAAAAAAAGTACTTTTTTGTGTTGGAACAGCAGTTGTTAAAGTAACCAATATACACCTTTTGGCGTTCAAACCTTACCATAGTGTGTCATGAACGTTCCACCATTATTGAATTCGTACAATGTCGTACATGTTCATATGCAATGAGTGCGAGAAAGGGACGGCAACAATAATAATAACAAACATACAAAAAACCAGAAAAACCGTTTTTTTTTTCTTCACTCATTTCAAGCTATGTATGAGTGTGCGCGATCAGTTATAGTTTTGCGAGTTCTGAGCACAGATACACAGACAGTGCATTACACTCATTGTCACTTCACCGTCGTTGTCAAAGCCATTTATTATTGTTATTGTTATTATTATTATTACCGTCGACAAGAAGTAGGTATGACAGTTTGCGATGTCGATCGATTTTTCTTATTCAAATATCTTCTCTCACTCTCTCGCTGTCGTATAAAATAGAAACTTGAGCAAAACATTTTCAGTCCAATTTTACTAAATCATTTTGGAGAATGGTTTTGCTTTCATTCGCGTTTTCACTGTGCGCGCAGATTACGGTGCTCGTTGCATTGGATTTGGTTTATTTTTTTTTTGCATATACACACAGATCTTTCCAGTGAACATTAATCAAACAACAATTATACAGCTACATGCATGAAATCAAACGATTTCACGTAAGCGGGTTAAGTGCCATGACTATGTTGCAACAATACTTGGCGCTCTCGTAGCCGCCGTATAGGAGCCGTGTGCACATTAATGTTGCGCTTCATAGAATCTGGGTTAAACATTTGTGTGTGCAAACACACATAAATACAAGCATGTCGTTCTGATTTTGAATAAGGTTCCTTTATTTAGTTTGTTGGTTTTTTTTGTCGGGGTGGGCGTCATCATTCATTGATCTAATGCGATAATGTTTTAAAAGCCTTTTTCGAACAAAAATGGTTTTATTTTGTTTTATCTGGTATTGATTTGCTGATAGTAGCGATTTCCAAATGAAATAGAAACGAGACACACAGACGGCGTCATTTTATGAAATCGAAAAAAAAAATGCCATTTCAAAACGAGAATATGAGTAAACATTATTCGATTTAAGCAAAACCATGCAAATTCGATTCCGATGGTTTTTTTTCTCATTGAAATTTACAACTTTAATTTCATGTGCTTTCTCACATTAAAAACAACGTGATGCAACACGCATGTAATTTAAATCAAATTATGAATTAAATCGTATTTATTTGGATGTGTGAAAGATATATGTAGAACTCACCACAATGCGCCAAATCGATGATAGGAATTTGACCTTTCGACAAAAGCGTGTCGACCTCCTCAGGTAGTTTGTTCGTCAGCATTTTTGGATCTTGGAGAATGTCAGCAAAAATGAATGAATGACCGTTTTCAGTGGTTTGTTTTTAAATGTGATTTTTGTGTGTGTTATTGTTGTTGTTTTATTGTTTTTGTTTTTATATGTTGTCCGTCTGGATAAGTTTGAATGCGAACAAATTAGTTTGGCTAAATGTTGTTTAAAAATTAGATTTTCGGTTGACGGTTGTTGTAAATTCTCCTTTTCCGTCGCGTCCTACAAACAGTCGTGCTGATCAAATTCCTCTGTAGATAGATTTCGTATCAATATTTCCGGAGAAGAACTCTAAATAAATGAATATAAATAACATTAGCTGGCGACTATAATTTTCAACAACGAAAAAAAAAAATCTAGTGAATACGAAGAATTTACAAGACAAAAAAAAAATACATTTATGACTCATCAGCGATTACAAAACGACACAAATACAATGGAAAAATACAACAAAATAATGGTGCTGGTTTTTCTGTTTTTGATGTCAAATGAAAGCGGCAAATAACTGATTTTTAAACAAAATTGCCGGATGATTTATGATGCGAGCTGTTTTCGTTATTTCAACTTTATGATGATAAACTTAATCATGATTTCGTAAACAGTTATGGTAGGAGCGCATTTTTCATCTTCACGATTTTTGAAATGTATAATTAAACTGTACCAATATTGTTTCATTTGTGAATGGTCAGAAAATTCAGAAGAAAGAGAGTCGTCGACACGATCGACCCTATCAAAACTGAATCAATTGTATTCAATTCACTTCAATTAAAGAATTTCATTGCATTCTTCAGTTTATCGATACATTTGGCACATCTTTAAATTTCACGCACACATTTGCCAAATATCAAAAGTATCAAAAGGATCACCATACTTTAGTTCGGCGAAGAGCATGTGATGCACATAAAGCAACGAATATCATTCGCAATTCATGGCGTAATTGTGAACATAAGCGATGCATGGTCTATCTCTTTTCCCATGAAATATAATGCACCGAGGAAGTGTATCCATTTAGGCAAAAATGATCGCAACCCAAAAATAGAATTAGATTACGAATCAGAACGGATAGTTTTTAGTATAAAAAACGAACTTTTTCTATAAGTAACAACATTTCACCATATTTTCTATTCGTTTACATTAGCCGCTAATAATGTATACAAACAAATTATGATTCCTAAGAGATTGAATGTGTATGTGTGTGTATGTGTATAATAAAACTGATGACAGAAACCAAACACTCGGCAATATTGTTTATGTTCAGTTTCAACTCGCAATGTGAAAATAAAAACAGAGTCTCTACTCTGATATTATGCTAATATGTATACAGTATACGCAACGTTCTAGTGCTTCCCTTGATTCGGTTCGATTCTAATTTGGATTGTTTGTTCGTCGAGGCGTTGAAATCAGAATTTTAAAACAAAAACAAACAAAACACAATCAACAACATTGATATGCACCATCTTAGAGCCAGAACAGAAGAAGTGACAATTTTCAGCGATTGTTAGATAACGGTACGGTTTCTCTGTTTATATCTCATCCGAAAGAAACAATTGCGGTTTTTTTTCTGTCGAATGAATTTTCAATAAAGATGAGCTGGTTTTTTGCGATTTGAACGCATTTATTGCATTCCAATTCATCTGCTCACGAATGTATATCACACATGCAACGAAAAAAAAAACATCAGCACATGCGATTTATAGATTAATTTATAACTTCGTGATTTTTGGAATGACACGGGTAGCATGACACACGTTTTGTTATTTGCAAATTTGAGAAACAAACACATGAAACAAGAGAAAAAAACTTAAACAATGAAAAAAAAATAATAACGTCTTGTGTTGATGCCGGTATCAAGCGAATATTTATTTAGAAACTGATAGCACCCAGTTGCTTAGGTAGTATGAAATAGTTGAATCTCAATCTTAATTTTTAAATCTTGATGGCAAATAAAGTAGTCAAAACCATATGTAGTGAAAATGAACTGTTGATATGGAGATTAGGCGAATTGGATGATAATAAAAAGAGAGAACCGGTAATTAAGTTTTATGGTTTGTTCAAGTGGGAGCAAATACGTTATAAAAAACTGTACACTGATTTCAAATGAACGCTTGTTATGAACTACCGTATTACATTCAATTGAGCTATGATTTATTTCGTACTTTGTATTTTTACACATTTTTATTTCGAATAATGCAATTGTTTGTTCCGTGAAAAATTGCTATTGTGCTTGATAAAAACAAAAACAAAACAAAAAATCATAGATTTTTGAATTGTAAACCAAAATGAAATGAATTCAAAAGCACACATGCACTAAATGTCTACACCGTCTGTTCCGCTTGCGGTTAAGACGAATGAAATATGTTTGTTGTAAGTTTTGTTAGTTGCATTGGACTTACATTTATGGCAATGTTGTGATGATGATTTCCTTTTATCTAGTTGATATAGCAATATAGCAGCAGCTCTCGAACCAAAGAATAAACGATTGCCTTGTTTTGTTGATTGATGTGAAACAGTGCGGTGTTCTATGCTGTCTGTTTCTATTCTTTTCACAAAAATTTCTAACCCCAAAACTGACCAAAAAACGAATAATTCTCGAAACTTGCGAAACGATCGAAAGCGATACAAAACAAGATCGATGAATTTATTTCCACACAAAATGCTCAATTTATACTTTTCGGTTGCCAAACAAAAAGTTTGAAAAACACACGCTGGATATTTTCGCTCTTTCGGTTTTTTTTCGCAAAAAATATAAACGGCAAAAGGCGATGAAATCAAGTTAATTTGGTTCACTAATAATGTATATAAGTTTGATTTTGTTGAATACAATCTCTTCGATCATTGTATCAATTTATCTGTTTTTCCGAACAATTTCAATTCACAAAACGAAAAAAAAATTATGAAATATTTTCTTTAACAACAATATATTTCTTCTTTGCTCGCCGTTGTACTGCTTTGAGTTGCAACTTCATGAGATTTTTATCCGTTAGTTTAAAAATCCGATGATTTTTTTTTTGTTTCGGTTGAAGCAAAACGAGTCGATTTCACTTGTTGGTTGTAATGGTTATGTATGTTTCTTTTTTTTCTTCTTCTTTGTTTTGATTCTCGATAATTCGAACGTATTCAAAGATGATGAATGGCTCGCGTTTTTTTCTCGTCCAAATGGTCGTTGGTTGCGGCAAAACGACGAAATAAAACTCCCCACAATTGAAATGTATTGAAACAGCACACCAAAATTGAATAAAATAACCAACAACTCTGGAAATCAAACAGATGTTGTTGAATTTATATCCTGGATGATGAATTTTTGATACAAACAGGCCGACGTTGAGGTTTTCACTTTGTTATAAATTTATAATTGAAGACAAGAGACAATAAAATTGGTTTTGTTTCGACTTGGTGAAGCGCACCGCTCGAATGTGCTTTGTATGACGCTAAGCCACCTATCTTAGTCTCTGAGCAACTAAGTCACGATGAAACGTTACAATCGTATAATGTATATACTTCGGTTCAATTACGGCCACACGTTCGTTTCACTATGTTTGTATATGTAAGCATGTTTGCATGTATGTGACCGTTGACTAAGCGTGCTACTCACATGTACGTGCCAAACAACACAAAGAATCAAATATAGCAACAACAACTGTTTTATGCTTGTGTGTATGATTTCGTTCAGAACCATAGTTGTGCGTTGTTCGAACAAAAAAAAAATGAGTGCATTACATACTGATAGCAGCCACGTGTCTATGTGTGCACTTGGATACAACCGATATATAGTCAACGTCATCACCAATACATACGTAGATCGAAGCCAGTGGCCTAATGCTATGATTTTATTTCACGCTCGATCATATACATTGTCGGCTTCGCTTGAAATACATTGAAATAGAGTGGATTCGATGTGGTTTCCCTTCGTTATTTAAGCAGCAGAATCCCATAGCAAAAAAAAAGTAACACCAAAACAGTTGGTAACTGGATGATTCGTATCATTATAAATTGTATACACGCATTTCTGTTGGGAAGCATCCCGTATGCAGTGACGTGATCATGCGCATGTTTCTTTCACCTTCTTAAATGTGAAAATTTGTTTGCGCACATCTTTACCGAAATCAGCATCGTATTTGAAAAGTAAACATTTAGTCGACCATTTCAAATCATTGATTGACTTCAAACGAAGATGATGATGATGATGATGAAAACCAACAGAAAATTTGATTTTAAATAAATTCATTACAAATATTTTACATGTTAATTTCAATTCTTTGGCGTCAACCGAACATACCGATCTGAATATGATCGATTTTCTATTGTTCCAGGTTACGAAAACGTCATAGTCATAAATTCCACAAGAAAAAAATATGAATTAAATGAAATATTTGCCATTTGCGCACACATGCACACTTACATATTATACATATTCCAAGTATTGATTGTATCATAATCGGGTTTCTTCAAATTTGTCGCGCTAATTGTGTGACTGTGATGAAATTTTTACTTTTATGACTAAAACATACCACATTTTTGAAGTTGTCAAATATATATTATAGTTATAATGTATATGAGTAAGCGAATTGTGCTAGGGGGTAGACATGATTCATTTGATTCACTGTGATTCAAAAGATTCACATTGTTTAGATGACATTTGAAATGTCATTTATGTGTCATACAAGAAATATTTATTGAACAATTAAAATTATTTGTCTTCGAAAAAATGATTTCTTGACGTTTTTTTAAATGTATTATCTCATTATGGTTGATTTTATTTGGAATTTACTAGAAAAACACGAAATAGATGAAAAAATAATATTTAGAATTTGTTGCACGATCATGTTAGTAAAACCAAAAGTGATGCTTATTTGACATTTGAATGATTCATTTGATTCACTGTGATTCACATGATTCAAAGTTTTATAATTCGTGTCTACCCCCTAGCGAATTGTGTGTGACACAATTGTTGGCGTTGAGCCACGTATAACCGTTAAATAATTGCAGCCAAAATGGTAATGATTTATAATCAAATAACTGATGATGAGTGTATTTCTTTTTTATTTACAGCCTCAGTTATTTATTTTATTTGTCCGGCGAAACAGTCACTGTATTTCACCGTCGCCGTCACTGTGCTTTCTCCAATGACAACAACCGCTGTTATTTTTGTGTTGTATTTCGTAAATACATGCAAAAAAAAATTTGTTTTATCATCGTTCATTGGCAAATTATTAAAACAATAAAAAAAAATTCCTTTTGAAATGAGTTTATTTATTGAATCAATCGAGAATCTGTTTTTCCTGAGAATTAAAACCGCATTTTTAAATAATATCTGACAACATATCATTTTTATTGCTAAATCATTTAATTTCAAGCCCGAGTTGAATCTCTGTGATTTCGTTTCAATTATGCAATGGTACAAGTATTTTATGTTAAAGATTATGCTGTAGAAAAAATCCTATACAATCAATTTTGTGGTGCTTCAATTAAAATGAAAATAATCAATCCAACTAAAAAGCGATTCTAAATGTTATTGTTGCATACAATTCCGTGCCATTTCCCGTTTTCACATTCAAACATAGAAAAAAAAAAAGCGGAACATTGTTGTGAAGATTCTCCTTTCACCGTCCAAGCGACGCGGATTCAATGAACAACAACATTTTAATTGATAAAAACACACACACACACACCGATAAAGTTCCGAAACGAAAATGTCTTCAGGTCAAAAATCATGTACAATATTAGATTTCATTTGCTTTCTTTAATTATAGCCCATCGAAGTTTCTACAGATGTGATCAATACGTATAATTTGAATTTCATGTTTAATTGCGAATTGATAAATAAAATTGTTTTGTTCGGTCTTCAGCCATACCATTTCTGTCTTAATAAATACAGCTTGGTTTACTTGAAAATCAAATTCGATCAAATTGTTATGCGGACAACGGTTGTGAGTAATAAAAGATAAGTAAATTTCAAAGAGAAGAACAAAAACAAGCGACAATAGACTCGCGCACTCGGCATAAAAAAAGTGTTTGAACAGACAACAAACAATGACTAACTCTAATATGCAGAAATTCAGCTTGGTTTGGTTTTAAGGAAATAAGTTGGTAGAATAGACGCGTGTACATTTCATGTGAAATAAATCCGATGTTTCATGGTCAACCTGTGTCTAGACTTCTCTACACGAGCTATATTGATGATGTTGATGAACTTCAAACGCAAGAATCTTCCATTCTTTTGAAGAAGGGAGAAAACATATCTATCTCTTTCTATCCCAAAGTAAGTGACTAAAAGGACAGGATTTACTCACCGTATATTCTACATACAAGGCTGCAGCGTTTGCTTTGGAAAAAACAAAACCTATGCACAGAAAATAAAGATGATGCATGAAGTTGAATTGTTCAATTTTTATACAATGAACTTGACACGAAAAGAAGTGTTCCTCTTTACATTTTATCATAGAAATTGCATTAATATTCACAATATAGTGTTGTTGTCATTGTAAAATGAAAAACGGTGTAAACAAGCTACTGCATTCAGGAGCGCATAACTCACACAAAGAAAAATTCGGTATATTGTCACATGCATATCGCGATCATTGTGCACATGCGAATCAGAACATAGGCACTGGACAGATTTTTCAGTTCAATGAACCAACGATGATCAAAATAAAAGTTAAAAAAAAAGATATATACGAAGAAGAAGATGGGAAAAATGTGCTGCAACTGGTTCGATACGACCGTCGATGAAGAGAAAAAACAACATCAATTATATCACATGAGCATTCTTTGTTGTGTGTATCGAACGCGTTATTTTTAAAACTCGAACAGAATGATTACTTTAATTATTTGTCGAGGCAGCCAATGTACTGTTCGAAACCATTTTAGATTTTCAAACTCTCATTGTCTCCGTCGGCGTCTCTCTCCCTCTCTCTCTCCCCTCTCATTTTGTTTGTGTTTTTGTGTGTCTGGATGAAAATAATTTGCAGCGTTTTTTTTTATTTAGAATTTAGCAGTCAATACAAATTGTTTAGCCAACCAAATGCATTGTACTGTAGTTGATTGCTCGCAAAACGATCAAGGTCACTTATTGAACATTACAAATACCAATGTCAACCAATTTGGGCATTCTCACGTTAAAACTGAAAGAGCAACTACTTAAAAGAATGCGTTTCGCGTCATCATGCCGTTTTATGTATGTGTATACATTCTTTTATCTTTGAAACCGTTAAAGTCAAAGTCCAAATTGTTCTGTCTGGTGTCTGACACACGATGAATTCGACATAACAATAATCTCAAGATTTATTTCACATTTGAAAATTGAATTGTAAAGTTTGAAGCCACCTGAATTGTATGAGAATATGATTCATATTACGCAACTATAGCAATAGCGTGACCTTCGTGAGCCTCATTTGAATATTCATCAAGAAATTATCGAATATAGATTCCATTTGAAAATAGTCTTTATTTAAAATGAGAGTGAAGTAACAATAATAATAAGCACAAAACAAAACAAAACATGATATTATTAACATAATATGCAAATGTTAGTTGATCATCATACTGTTCGATAGATCGGTTTTTCCTCTCAGTACGTGCTTTTGGAGATTCTGCAATGAAAAAGAAAGAACAATCAATATTTTGGCTTCCAACCGGAATACACCATCATAAAATATAAATAAAACAAACCTTGCTGAACATGTTGACGAGTATTCGATGATTTCGTCGAATTTTCGTTTCTCGTTCCATTTGTTGGCGCTTAAGGATTTCAGGTAATTTTTTATATTTCCGTCGAGTTTGGCTTATGATATCTCTCGATTTGAAAATTCGCATTTGAGCTAGAATATCGGACAAGAACATGCAAATAAACCAGCTAATTAAATTTTAATCATTCAAACGGGGAAAAAAAGGGTAAATGCTTTTGATTGACCATATTTATCTCAATTCAGCATTGTTAGCTACTCCGATTTCTACTAATAACAGCATAATTAAATTAGTATATCAAATCAAAATATTTATCGTGGATAAATATGTAGAGATGGAAATAGAGATTGACAAAGAGATAGAAAGAGAAAGAGAAAGGCACTGAAAAGGTATGAGCATTTAATGTTGCTTACCTAACGGTGGTGGCGGTAGTAGTCGTTTCATATTCCTATTCAGAGTTTTGGCGTTGGTACAAATGTTTGTAGCAAATAATTTTTTTCGTTGCTCGTTCCGTTGTTGTCTGTCATATAGGAATTGTGTTAACAAGCAAATTGCAATTTAATAAATAGTTGACTTGAAATTGTGATGTTGCTTACCTCAAATTATGCAAATCGTTCAAGCATTTTCGACGTTGTTCCGCATTTGCATAAAAGTCTGGTCGTCGGGTCTGCAAGTATTCTTGTAACGTTAAATTATCATCAGCTGAAACGATGGATGAATCGTTGCTACTGTTTTGCCCCCTGAACCGGGTCGTTTGTTCTTGGCCCACTGATCGTTGGTTATTTGTAGCAGTTTTCAAATCGCTGCTATCTGAATTACGGTTTGTCGACTGCATTTTATTTGTGTTTGCATACAATTGGTTGCCACATTCTTTCCCATTCGTTGCTTTCGTATTTGCATTGTGATCATCGTTTTGATTTTCTTGAAATATAATAACATAGGCCAACGCTTCTGGTCGCACTTGAAGTTGCTTGTTCATCATTAATTTTTTCACACGAACCGTTGGTTGTTCTTGAGACTCGGGTTCATTTTCTGTAGGTTCGTCGACGGCTTTCTTCAGTTGAATGATTGGCATTCGTTTCAAAGTGTTGGTCGTTTGTAGGCCAATCGAAATTTTTGAATCATATTGATGAGTGGTGGTGTTTGATGTCGAATTGGCGGCGACACCAATTGAAATTGAATTTGGCGATAAGAATCCATCGCTTCCAGACACTGATGTGTATGCATCGTTTTGCTTCGCTTTCATACGATTTTTGTTCATTCGCTGAATATTCTGAATGTCAGAGTATGAATCAGAGCTGTACGGCTTAGTGTATATCGGTTGATCTTGCGTATTCTTATTGCTCATAAGTTTCTTGGTGCGTTCCACCTGTGTTTGTGCATATTTTCGATCAAATTTTGCGCGACATGCCTTTGCATATGCTTCAATACCTGCGGGTGAATCACATAGAAAAATGGAAGTAATCGAAATTAATCAATATGTACTCAGAGAACGGAGCAAACAATGCCATTTTTATCCTGTTAGAAAACCGTTTCAGTGTAAAATTGTAACAACAGCCATTTTTCTACTCAAGGTTTTACTTCATATTGGAATTTTGGATGTCACCTTTACAGCTACATCTTCGAAAGAAAAATTGTGGTTATCACAATTTTACACTGAAACTGGTTTAGACCAAGGTAAAAACGACATTTTTCCGTTAAATTAATCAATATTTGAACGTATAATGAAAATTAAATTGCAAACAAAAATCTCATAGAATGTGTAGTACGATTACTATTGAACAATTAATCTATGAGTGATAATGATGGAATGGCACCTCTGCAATAATTTTGAAAGTAAGCATACCTTGTTCAATGCTTTCTTCATCCGAATTTGGTGTCTTCAATTTTGTTCGATTTTTCGCCAACTGCATATTTAAATGTGAATCCCACTCGGGATTTTTGTGCGGTTCTTTCAATTTGACTGGTAGTTTTGCCGATTCTCTGCTCGGGCGCTGTTCCTTTGAACCCGATGAAATTGTTGATGGTGGCGATTCGAGGGTGGTCTTATGTATCCAATGGCTTTTGCTTCCCATCTTTCCATGATTTATAAAATGTGAACTATCCTCCGTTGATTTGGATGAATCTGAAAATGATTAAACACCGTTTAATCCAATTTCTTCGCAAAATTAAACAAACAAAAAATTCACTCAAACCTATTAATGTGCTGGACACATCGGCTTGTGATCCATTAACACTCGAATGTTTGGCATTACGTCGAAAATTCTCATAGATGGTCAAATATTCGCGGTTATGTTTGGCATAAACCGAATTGATCTTTTCATCTGAAACATTTCCTTTGCTCTCATCACTGTCGTTCGTGTTAAGATTCTGTAAAAGTACTTTTAAGTTTTTCAGATGTTCGATCTCTTGATCGATCCAATTGAAATGCGTCTTTTTCTCATGCTCCAAAAATTCAAAAATTTCATTATTTTTCGTTGGTTTTTCAACGATTTTCATTGGCTCTGTGACACGTTGAACGCTTGGAATGTCTTTTGATTCAATGGATTCGATTATTTGCGTTTTTCGTGCGATTTCTTTTTCAATTTCAGACTGTGTAATGGGTAGTAACCAGTCTTTAACTTCTTTCTCGTCGTTCGAACCTTTTTTTACCTCCGAATGAATTAAATCTTCTTCTTTTCTCTCTTCATTTTTGTTCTCCATTTCTTTTCTTTTCACATCTTCCGCCCTTTTTTCACTTCCACCTTCAATTTTTTCGTTATTCACTGGCAATTGATTTGATTGAACGGAATCTAAACTTGATGACGAACTCAGAGCAGAAATGCCAGAAATGGTATCTTTTACAGCTCTTTCAATTTCGGATTGTTCGCTGTCTTCCATTGAGCTAACACCGGAGATTTTTGTACTCGATTTATCCGAATAAGACATAATCATTTGTGTTATGTCTTTGGTGTCTCTCGATTTAAGCAAATGCCGTACGATTTTTCGTATAAGCTTTTTCTTTGTTACGCCATCAGTTGTACGAGAATCAATTAGTGCATTAATCAAATCGACACCTTTTTGTAAATCGTTTGGTAGCACACATGATTCGTTTCGTTTTTCAACTGCATTCTCAGGTGTTTTATAAACACTGGGTTTTGGATCGTTTCGATGCATTGCATGCAGTGGAGGCGGCGGAATATTTTCTTTATCATCGATTGGCGGTATGTTTTCTTTATCGTCTGGATTTTCTTCTTGAATATAAATACTATCATTTTTTATCTCAATGCGACTGGGAATTTCACTGGCCGTTGATTCGTCTAGCAGCGGTGCTATTTGTTGATTTTTGTATGCATTTGGAGCTACAAATTCAAAACTTGTTGCTGTTGTTAAGTCTTCGTCGTCTTTTTGTGTGGATTCATGTACTTGTTCTGATTGGGAAAAAAAAACATTAGTTTTAACAAAATTAAAAAAAAGAGAATTAATTCTAAATGGACTACCAATTTCAATTTGAACTGATTTCGATGCATATGCAATTTGTGGTTGTTCAACTTGAATTCCAATTGCTTCAACATGAATCGATGATGTTTGTGACCATTTTTCAATTTGCTCCGTTTTCGGTTTTTCGATTGGAATAAGTTCGGTTGATTTTGGTTTGTTTCGACTAATGGATTCATTATTATATTGGCTACTGTTATCAGTGTCAACCGGTAATGGTGTGCTATGATGTGGAGCCGCTGAAAATGACATGAACTGTGTTGTGTCAACCGCATTTGCTGTATCTACTTTTGAGTGACGATACTTTTCCCTATATTTCTCCAGCGCTGATTCCCACAATCGTTTGCTTGTTGCCGGTGATAAATTTGGTGTATCCTTTCGTATTTTTTGTGCATCACGCATTTCAATAGCCGATTGTGTGAATTCTCGTTTTTGAAGTGGACTTTTGGACTTGCATTCGGGAGGTGCAAGTATGAGTAAATTATCATCAAAATTCAATCCGCGTTTAGCAAAGAATTTGGTTAGTGCACTACGTTCAAATGTTGTTAAATTGCTATTGCTTTGTGATTTAAAATCGATGATTCGATTATAACCAATGTCCGCCATCGAATCCCATTCCAAACGTACTTTGGCAGATGCAACACTACTCGCTGGTGATGTTTCTTGAATGCTATCATGAGTAGTTTGTTTGTTTCGTTCGGAACCCGATTGTGTGGCTAACTTTGATGCAGCTGGTGGTGTTTCTTCAACTAAAATCGATGGTTTTGTTATTGATTTTGTTGCAATTACATCTGTTTGCGTTTCTGTCGATTCCAATTGTAAGATTCTAGCTGGTTCTGGTACTGAATCAATAATTTGCGTAATTGGAAGTGTGGGCAATGATGTAGATGACGGTAAATTAATTTCAATGCTCGATTCCAAATTCAAATTATACGATTTACTCTTTGATTTTCCTTTAAATCGTTGCTGCGTTTTCTTTTCGATTTTTATTTGACTTGTATCAGTTGATTTTCCTCTGTCATGTAAACCATCGCCTGATTCACACACATTTTCTTGTGATTTTGTAGCACGTCTTGCTGAATCATCTTTTGATTTCGATTTGCAATCGCTTGAATTTAATTTTTCCAATGATTTTGCATTTCTTTTGCTATCATATGAATAACTACCACTTTCGTAGTTTTTCAAACTGCTACTGTCACTGGACGATTTACTAGTGCTTCGTCTCATGCGTAAATATTTTTCCAGATCACGATTTTGTCCATATTTATAATAGTAATCTAATACTGTTGAACTTAATTTTGATGTTTTCATTCGGTCTTTTTTATGCGACATTTTTAACAAACACTAGTGTAACACATAAACTAACAACAAATTCAACCAACAAATCGTATTAACAAAGTAGTCAAAATGACCGTTGCGATTGCTTGTTTACAAAACATAATATTAGAAATGTTCATTCATGGTGCATCTATACGTGACATTATGTCAAAATCTATCCACTTCAATGGCATTCGTAATGCCGATAACATAGTTCATTCATGAAACATCGGCAAAAAGTTCTTCGGAATATATGTACATCAACTTTCAATGTGATTTCAATTCAACTCAAATTAAAAACACAAAATATTCACCGCAAAATAATAATTATCATTTTAATTTTTAAAATTTTAATCGAGTATGAAAAATGTATGTATAACGTAAGAGATTCAAATAGTGATGTAGTATGACAACGAAATGTATATGCGTTTGCCCGAAATTTGGGCACATCAATCGGGCAACACGTAGTCACATGACAGAAATGAAAAGTCACATGAGCCATTTTTCGGTCAAGTCGTACTTTTGCTTGATAATCTGATATTCAACCAGCTGACTAACTCTAGTTGCTGTAAAATTTTCATTCACAACAAATCAGTCGTCAAATAGTTTGTGTTTTGTGATCGAATCGAACAGAGAAAAAATTTATAGAAAAATGTCGTTGTCAGCTCATCAAGCTCGCCGTGAACATGTTTTAGCTGTTTCTCGGGATTTTAATTCTCAGCCAAGATTAAGTGAGTTATTTTTTTTATTTTATTTAAATTGATTTTTCTTATCTCCCAAAAATTTCTTTCGGATATTTATCTCGCCTTTTTTCAATACACAAACATTCGTCAAGCTCCACACCCGTGATGAATTTTATTCTAACTTGGATATTGCAAATCGTTTTGCAATCGGGTGAAATGTTTTCGAATGTATTCCAATTGGAAACTGGTTTGATAAAAAAAAAATATCTATGCAAAATCACATTAAAACATTCGAAAAGTGTCATTCAGCCTTTTCTCTCATTAAATGTCAGCCATCTTGGACTGTACTGCGCTAATCAATACTCTTTCCCTGCACATACATTGTTTGTGATAAATAAAAAAAATGCAAATAACCATTCAAACAACCATAAATTTCGATTAAAATCGAATAATTAATGTTACATTTATAAATAGACCGTACGCAAAATAATGTATGAATTGGTTTTCATGTGAGTTTTATCAAAGATTGAATGTTTGTTTTATGTTTTGCATCGAATTTACTGGCAGTGACATGTCATGTGACCTAATAATATACACCTGACTATGTGAAAAATCCACAATTTCAACTGAGATTTAATAAATTGAATAGATTTTTATAGTAAAACAAATTTAAAATATTAACATTTGTGAATTGCTCTTTTTCGTTGGTGATTTTCATTGAATTACTCTTGTTTTTTCTGTATTTTTTAGCCTACAAAACGGTTTCTGGTGTAAACGGTCCATTGGTCATTTTGGATGAAGTAAAATTCCCAAAATACGCTGAAATTGTTCAGCTTCGTTTGAACGATGGCACCATTCGATCTGGTCAAGTGCTTGAAGTGAGCGGTTCAAAAGCTGTCGTCCAAGTGTTCGAGGGTACATCAGGCATCGATGCTAAAAACACACTATGTGAATTTACTGGTGACATTTTGCGTACACCAGTGTCGGAAGATATGTTGGGACGTGTATTTAACGGTTCTGGCAAACCAATCGACAAAGGTCCACCAATTTTGGCCGAAGACTTCTTGGATATTCAAGGTCAACCAATCAATCCATGGTCCCGTATTTATCCCGAAGAAATGATTCAAACTGGTATTTCGGCCATCGATGTGATGAATTCAATTGCTCGTGGTCAAAAGATTCCAATTTTCTCAGCTGCTGGTTTGCCACACAATGAAATTGCCGCACAAATTTGTCGTCAAGCTGGTCTTGTTAAGCAAACTGGAAAATCTGTATTGGACGATCATGAAGACAATTTTGCAATTGTGTTTGCTGCTATGGGTGTCAACATGGAAACTGCACGTTTCTTCAAACAAGATTTCGAAGAGAATGGTTCCATGGAAAATGTGTGTTTGTTCTTGAATTTGGCCAACGATCCAACCATCGAACGTATCATTACACCACGTTTGGCTCTTACAGCCGCCGAATTCTTGGCATACCAATGCGAAAAGCATGTTTTGGTCATTTTAACCGATATGTCATCATATGCAGAAGCTTTGCGTGAAGTATCAGCTGCCCGTGAAGAAGTTCCCGGACGTCGTGGTTTCCCTGGTTATATGTACACAGATTTGGCCACAATCTATGAACGTGCTGGTCGTGTCGAAGGCCGTAATGGTTCAATTACACAAATTCCAATTTTGACAATGCCAAACGATGATATCACCCATCCAATTCCTGATTTGACTGGTTATATTACTGAAGGTCAAATCTACGTTGATCGTCAATTGCACAATCGACAAATCTATCCACCAGTGAATGTGCTTCCGTCATTGTCACGTTTGATGAAATCTGCCATCGGCGAGGGTATGACCCGTAAAGATCATTCCGATGTATCGAATCAATTGGTAAGTTTCTCATCACATGACTAGTCACATTGAAATATTTTATGTGATATGAGTGAACCGTTAATCATATTTCATTTTATTTTAATACAGTATGCTTGTTATGCCATCGGTAAAGATGTGCAAGCCATGAAAGCTGTCGTCGGTGAAGAAGCTCTTACCCCAGATGATCTGCTCTACTTAGAATTCTTGACGAAATTCGAAAAGAACTTCATCTCCCAAGTAAGATAATTATTGTCATCATTTCGATAGCATTGAATACTCGTGACATATTTAACTGATTTTTTTTTCATCGCTTTTATTTGCTTTTTGTAATAGGGCAACTATGAAAACCGCACAGTATTCGAATCATTGGAAATCGGTTGGCAATTGTTGCGTATTTTCCCCAAGGAAATGTTGAAACGAATTCCAGCATCCATTTTGGCTGAGTTCTATCCAAGAGACTCACGTCATTAAACCATATTGAGAGAGATACCAATTAAACTCAAGCAAAAATGTGGGTAATACATGTAATGCCCCCCAAAAAAATACAAAGAAAATGTTATAAAAATAATAATTTAAAAAAATCGCATTTTTGCTCGTGTATCTACTACACATACAAACACACACTGTAAGTATTATACAAATTTAGCTAAAAATTATTTTTTTTTTCTCTATCTGTTTGATTTCTTGTAAGAACTACAAAAAAATAATAATACAAAAAAATGTTTCGTTTTATCAATGTTGTCAGAATGAGTATATTATTTGAATTGAGCCACGTAGTAAATGGCAACGAACAAAGAATAAAACATTTATAATTTGTTTGTATCAATAAAGAAATCCGAATAATAATTGTTACCCATTGACATGTCAATAGGTTTATTTTCTACAGCCATTATTCGGAATTCTGTATGCATGGTTGAAATTTAATCGAAAATAAAGAAAAACAAACATTTTATTGGACAGAAATTGTGTTGGTTTCCAATGTTCCACAAATCCAAAGGAACCATTAAGACACATGCACACCTATAGTAATATATATTTGTAAACATACATACAGAGAGAGAAAAATCATACCCCAGTGCTGGCCATAATTCAAATGAAAATTAAATCTTATCGAATTGAATACGCATACGTACAGTATGCCAGTATTCAAATATCCAAACACATAAATAAAATACACACACAAAACACAGCCACTACTTAAGTAATGATACAGCACCAACAGTTTGTAGAGAAGAAGGAATTGTTTCATTTAAATGTAATGTTAAACAGGAAAAAAATGTTTTATTTGTTTGTTGGTTTGTTCCATTGTATAGAATTTTAAATTGTAAAAAATAATGCTATAAAAATAATAATGATAATAAAAATGAAAATCATACTATGGAAAATTGCGAATCGAAGTTTGTTGATTTAGAAAAGGAGAAAAAAGCGAATATGCTATTTTCTCGACCATTTCCTTTGAATTCAAATAAAAGAGAAGAGAGCAAGAGGCAGGTATATACACAACTTCTTTAAATCCATTCAATACGCCCATTTGTCACTTAGTTTACATCTGTCACTATCATTTACATATAACCAGGGATTGTTCCTCTGAGGAGGATGAATGGTGAGGAGGAAAATGGGGAGGAGGAGGAGAGCGAGCAGGTCCTCCTCATCAACTGAGGAGGAAAATGTTTTTAGCTAAAAATTATATTTTTGTGATAAAAATAGCCCTTTGAGCAAAAAAAACTTTTTCTCCTCCATAGAGGAGGAGGATTCTCCTCGCTCTCCTCCTCCCCCTCATTTTCCTCCTCACCACTTCTCCTCCTCAGAGGAACAATCCCTGCATATAACAGATTTAAAATATACCAAATAATCATTTAACAAGGTATGATAACTGTGATTTGAAAGCATCAACAAGAGCATGTTCCGTAATTATGGTTTTTTTCCTTTCGAGACATTCATAGTCTACGAAGACTTTGATCCTATAATAATTATCAAACGATTAAAGTCAACCAATTTAAGTTGTTTACGTGTTAAATACCTACCGCATGGAAGGAAAAAAAGACACCAAACACGATGAAAGCGTAGATAATGTATATCCAAAGGCAAACAACGATTAATCGCCTTTTTCAGCAAAATGAACATAAATTTCATAATAATTACATCAAAAATGCCCACGCTTACATCGAATTATATTTGTCACACACAGTTCAGTGCTCATTCACACATCATGAAAGTCTTCTTCCAATTGAAGTCACTAGCATAATTACACGTGTTCATATAATGCATGCACAGTCTATAAATGTTCTACATAAGTTTTGATGTATGCACGGAATATACAGAATTTATTTCATTGGCTTTAATATATTTCACTCGCCGCAGCATGCCAATTTTGTTAATGCGTTTGCGTAAAATAAATATTCAATGTACAATGCACCTGTTTCGTACTATTTTACCAAATATTCACTTACACATACACACACACGCGCGCTGTATCTCTTATTGGATTAATATTTAATGTGAGCTTTTCATTTCACCACAAATCACACTTGCTGATCCAAAAAATAGAATGAGAATTTTTCTAAATGATTGAAAAAATAAAAATTGAATGTAATAAATTACTAGCCTACTAAGGTTATGTGGCTAAACAATTTTGGGTGGTCGAGTGTATTGTTCTGTTGAACTCCATTGCAATTCAATTTTCAAAAAGTTAAAATTATGCGTCAAAGCAAAATAAAAAAAATAATTGAATATTCTATGCAAGGATCAAATGTGTTTTGTAAATGAAATGCATGAAACTTATGCAAAGTTGTTGTCTCATGGAATTGCATTAGGCTTCAAATTACCAAACTCTCTTTCTATCTTTATCTCTATATATATGTGTGTGTGAGTGTGTATATTTGTTGGATTGTTGAAAAAGTGCTTATCAATAAGTGTGTCACTTAGATCGAATTGCAATTTGTACCTCCCGAAGTTATTTTACCGTGGTAAAACTTCGTTTAATTGAAATAGTTAAATAAATTGAATTTGTATGCGGTTTGAACGTTAGATTGTCTATTTGATTGCTTGCGATTAAAACAATTGTGCATATGCAGGTAGAACAGATAGTTAAATATTTAAATATCCATTTTCACTCTTTCTCCTCGCTGTCTCTCTCTTTGTATATCCATCACTTCTCTGATACTCGAATACCAAAAATAACCAATTTGCCATTTTGATTGGGGTAATTTGTCTGGCAGAGGCCCCTTCGAATATTTCTGAAATTTTCCACTTGGGATGTGAATGCTTTGACCAGACGTATGATTTCGATGGCTAGATAGCGCCTTTTGAAAATAGCCATCTATCTAGCCAGCAGAATCATACGTATGATCTTGACCATCTATTATTAATTCTAACTTATATTTTATGTGGTTTTTGGAATCAATGCATGTGTTCTTATTATTCATTATTGTCGATATAGGATGCTCCTTTGAAAAATCCTTCATTATTTTGTGCCAAAAATCACATCTTCAGAAAGACGGCATCATATAAGTTTCTTTGTTAAGGTTATCCAAAAATTACCTTTAAAATGGCTTATAAAACTTTGCGATATATTTTTTGCGAAAAAAAAACAGGCGATACTCTAGGGCAAATTTTCGTACGTATGCAACAGTGTTGCCACAAGGTACACTTCAATCCATTTTTATTCGACATTAAATATCAATTGGTGTCAATCATGATGCTATAAATCATTTGAAAATATTTTGTGAAATAAAATGAGGTCGATTCCTTTGCACTGTCAAATCATTGTCTTATTATCAATTTTGTTGTGAATTTTCAATGATGAAAGTATTTCAATTCTCTCAACCTCCATTTTTGAAACTCAACTTATGAGCACACAGCTAGCTAAGACTGCAAAAGACAACATCTCAAAAGAATACCAACAAACTACGAAAAAACAATGTTTGATGCTATATTTACGAAATATTACTTTGTCAGTCACAAAATTTTAGTCATTTCTTTACACAATTTCTCTCAAACCTCTCTGTCTATTCCTGAAAATAAAGAACTTTCACCGTTTCTTTCATCCAATAGAAACGATTTAATATCAAGTGTAGACAAATGGAATGGGAAGCTCAAGAAACAAGATAAACTTTTTTTCTCGCAAAATATTTTACTTTGACATCTGATGTGCTCTGTTGCAACTTGCAATAGTGAGAAAACTAAAGCAATTCAGATGAATAGTTTACAACGTTGCACATTACATATTTCCATTCCGTAACAACAAAAAATATAATGTGAAAACTCGTTCTCTATCTGTTTAGAATATTGTAAATTCCCTTTTGCAACAACTCGGTTGACCGGCTACGATAAAAAAAAAATGAAACTTAAAATAAAATGTTGTTGAAGGTGCAAATTACCAATTAAAATATTCTTTTTCGCTTATGGATTGTGATGTCCAACGAAAAAATGAACATTTTTCGAGTTGAAATGCAACATAGTCGCTCAACTAAAATCTCATCTGAATATCTTATGAAGTGCGAACGTAACAATTTATACACAATCAACATTACTTGGCACATTTTGTTTCTCGTTATCTTGCCTTTGACGTTATTGTGCTACATACTTTGCCACCAAACCAACCGGCCAAGTTAAGCAAGCACAAAACTTTTTCCGACGTCAATTAAATTAGTTTTATCATTTGCTAACTTATTATCATTATTTCACAATTTCTGTACATCACACTGTATAGACTATAATCTAGTAAAATTTTCTTCAGTTTTGATTTTTTTTTTTGATGATTCCGTAATGCTCAATATAACGTCTATATTCTTTCTAATGAGTTTTGCTTATCATTTTATTATTATTAATTACCACATATTTTCTTTTTCTCGATTTCAGATGCAGAGCCGGTTATTTGTCGACAATACTAACTAAATATATTGAATAAAATCTAAAGAAAACAATTTACTCTTTTTAAAGCAAGCAAAATGAATCACCTGAATACACATGCTTGGGAACTATTGTGTATCGAACCCGAAGCGAAATTAGATTTCATTTTGAAATGGAATTGTTTTTAAAATGAAGTTTTATTCAATATTTCATCGCAATATATTTTATAGATAATTTATAAGATGATGTCATATATTCTTCTTTAATTTTTAAGCAATAACATTTAACACGCCATAGTTTGATTGGCATGTAACCATGTAAAATATTTTCAGTCAGTCGTTCCATTGATCAAATTCATTTCTATTTTCAACACAAAAATCTACCGTTTATATATTTTCCTTTATATCTAAAATTTAGACTCTAATGTCGTACATTCCTTATATTCTTTAAATTGTTTGATCTTCAATTTTGATCCTAGGGGCTTTCTACTATTCGCGAATGGCAATTTATTCGCAAAATATAAACATTTTCCTATTCATACGTAAAATATACGAAATAAAGTATATTCATTCGCATCAACATCTATGAAAATTCGTATATTTCATTCGAAACCATTCGCGAATGTCGCATACTATTTGCGAGATGCGACATATTGCTGTGATTTGTACATAAACATTTCTGTGTTTAGTTTGTATGCATGATCATTTGCTTCCATTTGCAAAATATGTTTGAAACATTCGCTCACATATGCAACATTCGTATAAGTCGGAACCCCTAGTTTTGATCTAAAAGTAAATTAAATCAATAATTGTTTGAGCTCCGTAAATAGCTTATATAGATTTAAGCTTCGCTTGGGGTTAGCTATTCGTTTATAAATTTTAGAGGCGAGAATCAGTCTATAAATTTTTGATGAATATTTATCCAGGATATTTTAGAATATCTCGATATTAAACGCAACTGTGCATAGCCAGAGCTGTGTGCGTCGCACGTATATGTGTATCAAGAGCCGCACAAAAATACTTACAAAACAGATACAGCGTGGCTGTGTACTTGCGGCACTTGATATACACAGCTCTGTGCAGTTGCGTTAAATATCGAAATATTCTAAAATATCGCGGATAAATATCCATCAAAAATATATAGACTGGCGAGAATTACGCCCAATATCAATTTCATAATTTAGTTTGCTGTTACTTTGAATGGAGACATTTTAAGTATCTACTGATTCACTCCATTCAACCAAAAACCATTGCAACCAATATTTTGGATTTTCGGATTTTGTTAGAAAAGTTTTTTTTTGTTTCTTTCTGGAATTTGTTTTTGTCCAATGCAAATTAAATTTATGTGGATGTTTACTTCAAAAACTAAAAGTATGGATGCAGTGATCATACCGGCTCTTCTAATCTCAGGGAGACAGTTAATAATGTATGACTTTAATCTGTATGCATCCATAGTTTGAGTTTTTGAAGTCATCCACAAAAGTTTCAAATTATAGCATTGGACAAAAAATTAAATAGTTTTATTTTTGTTTCGAAATTCAAAATACTTTCATATTGCTAAATGTTCTTTTTTATAACAAAAAAACTAATATAAAGACAATTTAAAAATAATTCAAATGAGAATATTAAGAGGAACATGAGTAAACACATTTGAATGAATTTAATTTTAATTAAATGCATTAATTAGTAAGAATGCATTCCATAGCTAACCAGAACAATGTTTGTATAAGATAAAAAAAAAAAAAAAACAACATGAATGTTAATAAAATAAACCCAAACAATGAATTATTATTCCAAATAAAAGTAGATGAAAAATCGTTGAAGAGAAACACAAAGTTTTAACTTTTATTTTGATCCGAAGGCAATTGCAATTAAGTTCATCACGATGTTGTTGTATGTCAAATGTCCATGTCAGTAGTGTGCGGAGGAGGGTAGTGTGGGTTTACCCCCCTGTGATTTGGATGAGAATTTTTTTCGCGAAAATCATTCGAATTTGCTAGGGTTTTTGATTGAAAAAGTGAAGACCTTTTTTTTGCTCATCAATGTAGAAAATTGAGGAGAATTCTCCCAATTTGCTAGGGTTTTTGGTCCAGAGAGAATTTTTTCCGATTTGCTATAGATTTTCGCCTCAAAAAGTAACTTTCAAAAAAAAAAAAACGAAAATTTGTTTGATTTGCTAGAGAATTTTTTGGCCCTGAAAAATTTTCCTCGCCCACTACTGGTCCATGTATATTTGCATGTGTGTGCTTGTATAGAATGAATTGAAATGAGATGAGGCGCGCGTTTCTATAATCGATCAATAAGAATTTGCTTAGTGCATGCGCAAGCACACACAGAGATATTCTTGTACTACATTATGCCGGTTTTTCCGTTGGTGCGTCAACTAATTTGATACTCTTTCATTTGAGCTCAAAGCGAACCATCCACAAAAAAAACGAAAAAAATAAAAAAATATTGCGGTCGAATCACGTGCATCGTATGCTTCTACATGAATGCATTCATCTTCTCGATCGACGATTAGTTTTCACTTGTTTTAATATTTGGAGAATGGTTCAATTTCTCCATTTTGAACCGATAGATTTTCATAACAAAAAAATCATAAATTCTTTTCGAATACGTTAAAAACACCACGAAAAATTATTCCAAGTACAAGTTGAAGCTAACCTTGGCCTCCATATAAATACCTTTGGAATTAATATTTTTTCAATTCACTTACCAGCCAGCCAAATCGACAATTTTCAATATTTTTCCAAACTCTCGAATGTTTTGAGTTCTTAGAGAGCACTCTCACTAGCTTCTCAGTTTCTCAACTCATTTGCATAACTTTCAATCTTGACTTTTAGTACGTAGAATTG